ATCATTACTACCTCGCCGTTTTAAAGTGTCTCAAACCATAATTACTTCAACATTTATCCCAAAAAAAAGGCACTTTTACATGTGAGAAACATATTACCATGGTAACAATAAATTTCAGTCTAATTTAATTTTAGTCAACTATAAAATGGTCCAATTTTCATAATTTTTGGTATAGAATTTTTTTTTTCACTATTTTACAGAAAATTCTAGATTATTTCAATCATTATTTTTTATTTTTTTCAGTTGATTCATATCTACTATCTATTGAATCATAAAAATGAGAAAGTTTGTCTATATTAGGTTTGCTTATAATCTTTTCTTACACATTTTCCATACTTAGTATTGTACAAAAATAATTTATAATCCGTAATAATGCAAAAAGAGGGCCGACACCAAGTTATTCAAGAAACTATTCCTACTGAAATAAAACGATCAACACCTTCCACGACTCATGTCGAGGCATTGAAAGGTGCTTAATTTTTGTTGCTCTCTTATGAACTTGGTGCTTGTGATACATATATTCATCTTACAGGCGAAAGAAAAGACACGTAAAACGTCAAATCACAAGAATCGACTACAGTAAAATCAAAATTGGGCGCATTTTTACTTGAAATGTCTAGAAAGTAATTTGTTTTGTCTATGTATGTATAGACACCCGTTTAGTTCAAGATTGGAATGATTAGATGATATGCATTCATCCATCTTTATGACTTTTTTTTTTAGAGTGAAGAATAATGATGAATTCTTCATTACAAATGAGGCGTGCACATATGAATGGCCCATTGGTAAAAAAAGACATTGAAGGCATTTTGTTTCAATCTTATTTGTAATCTGATTCTCATTTCTCACACCTCACATCAAATATGCACAATTTAGATACTATGATTTGAATAAATTTATACTAGAAAACGAATAAAATTTTTAATTTCTTTTTAATGTTTCGAGTATTGTCGAGAGATGTCTATCGAAAGTATTCTTAGCCTAAAAAAGTAATCTTGCTCGATAAAGTCAGAATTAGATCACCAAGCTCCAATAAGAGCTGACAAATGATGAGAAAGCTGACTCAAAGCTTTGATTCTCAGATGACGGAGTAGGAAATATATCGGAGAGGCTATATTGTGAATATGGAAATGGTATGCTTTTGTCAAATATTTTATTTTCCTATGTAATAGGAAGTATTCAACTCATGTAAGGTAGTTTTGATGTACCCCTATTATATTGGGGTCTTCAACAATGTCGAATTTCGATATGAAAGAATTTTTTTTTTTTTGTTAATGAAAAACTCTTATTCCAAACGAATTTCTGACAATTCATTTTGTATTTCTAGAAAAACATCATTTCTTGGTGTCAAAATAGGATGAGTGGTAGAAAAATGGAAGATCATTTTTTTTTTTTTAACAAAAAATCGTCTTGGAGATTGTGTGGGAGCGTCCGTGATCGCTATAGATCACAATTGTGGCCGTGGTGTAGAAACAAGGTTTCCACGATGGCACTTTCTACTAGAATAGGTTAACTACCAGCTTTTGACTTTAGTTCCGTTCGTGGTTTTACTTCATTCTTATTCATTTTTCAACAAAAAAAAAAGTTGACAAATCGAAAGGCTGTTTTATGCAAAACTCCAATTATGATATCCCTTCTCTCTCAATGAAAAATATAGGAATATTTTTTGTTCAAACAAAGAAACTTTTATCCTTACGATTCATTTTTGTTGGTTGTACATTTTCATCTCAAAATAATGAATTTTGTTCGTATAGGCATTTTGGATGTTGCCATTGAAATAGTCCTTCTAGCTATGTTTTTGATTACTCCATCCATTTCATAGAGTATTCGACTTGGTAGTAGGATGCTCCAAATTCGAGGGTCAAAGAGTTTTAGAAAACATTCTCAATGGATAAAATGTGAATGAAATATTGAATTTTCAATTTATGGGGAGTACCATAGGATTCGTAGTTGGGGGAGAAAATCACCTATTAGATAGAGTGCGCTACGAGTAAATTCCTCCAGGGTCCCCAACCTTTCCCATATATGACATCAATGTCCCCAATTTTTGGTTTGTGCCACACTATATCCCCAACCTTTTAATGCCGTGCACACAATATCTCAATCAGACTGCAAACTTCTAAATAGACTAT